AAATCCGGGAGAAATCAGGTAACCCTTTGCTGTCTGCTTCCCCCCATCTTTTTCCCCTGATAGCCCCTTCTCCCTCCCCTTGCTGTCAGACCCTGCTTTCCATGAGTATGTGGGAGTAAGGAGCAAATTTGAAAAAAAAATGACTTCGAAATTAAACATGGCTGTACCCATAGACTTGGTATCATCCAGAATTGATGCATGTTAGGTTTTTGTTTTTAACTGCTGCAATTTTTAGCATAGGTTTTTCATAAACACACTTTTGAGTAGTACTTTGGCACCTATTTACATCTAGTATAAACTATGCATGATATTAGTCCAAAGCCAAAAGACTCATGATTTACCACACAATTCACTGGGCTGGGCCCCACTTGAGTCAACAGAAGTTTAAGCCTTGGCGAGCCATGACATTGTATACAGTTCACCCAAAATTCCTCTTGTTGCATCTTCTCTCAGCGTAGCGCACATTATTATTGTGGCTTTGCCCTCCACAGTTACCCCACAGTTTAGCACTGCTCAGTATGTGTAGATACTTTAAATACCCCCAACAAAGGATCCATGTGCTAATTAGTTCCCACTCATGACTGGAATTGGGTATTCTTCTCAAGTCCTGGAATGCTCCAAAAAATTATGTGCAGATGAGGCACAGGGCAACCTGGTCCGTCTTCACTTTATGAAGGGCAGAGCCACACCAATAATATGCCCCAGGCTGAGAAAGGAGGGACCAAGAGAGGGATTCTGAGTATGCAATGTTGTAGCTTACCATGACTTGAAAAATAGTCATCAGTGAGGGGAACTGTCCATAATAGGCACCAATATATGTCTTTTTCTGATGGACTGCACTAGCTGTCTTGTGGTGGTTCCTATCCATACCATAGTTTCTCAGCTGCCTTTGGCTAAGATCAGGTGTAGTGGCCAGGCAGAGGTCCAGTATACTACTTGAATTGATGCCAGAAGTGCTGGAGGGATAGTGATGGAACACAGGGATGGATGAGTTCCCAGAACTCAAAACAGCGTTGGTGGCAGTCTTGGAGAGGAGAATGACAGTTATGGAATGGAAAGCAGACTAAAAGATGAGAAGTAAATCAGAGAGCAGAAGCAAAGATCCAGAGACTGATGGAGAATGGACAAAGCTGGGGGAAAGGGGATGAAAGAAGGTAGGAAAGAAAGGTTGGTGGGTTCAGTGGTGGTGGAGGAGGCTTTACTGAAGAAGGCAATGAGAGAAGGGTTCAGTCAGCAGGAAGAAAAGGAAGAGAGAAGGTCAGGAGGAAGAAATGAGGAAAGAAACAGTGATTGAAGCGAAGAGGATGACCAGTGGGAGGAATAAGCCAGACCTGGAAAGAGAAACAACATGAGACAAAGTGAAAGAAGCAGCAGCAGGTAATCTGTTCCTAGGAATAAGAGCAGTAGTAACAGGAGAAGGAGAATGGAGAAGTGGGACAATGAATAGATATGAATTTATTTTAAAAATATTGTTTTAAGTTTTGGTGTTAAAGTGCAACATTTGAATAGTCTTGGTTGCCTTTCCTACCCAGAAGTCTTGGGAAATTTCATATTGGAGGCAAGAAGAGGAGGATTTTTGGAAGATGTATGCAGCAGTAGGTGAGAGAGAAGAACTTAAGGGGATAAGTTTTATTGCAGGAAAAAAGATGAGAGAAAGGACAATAATTATTCAAATGTAAACAGACATGCTTGAGATGGGAGAGATAGACAAATGCCTGGACAAAAAGTTATGTATGTTGAGAAGATATTTGATAAATATGGTATATGGGTGGGATTGTGGCGAGCTTGGGTGCTAATGAAGGCAGATGAAAGGAGTCTTGTGGGATAATGCACTTACCATCAGTAATCCAAGTAGGGCCACACCGACAGTTTACAGTGTTTTTCAGATAGTCTAAACTCTGTAGCAAGTGTGAGCAGGAAGGACACCTGGCCACATACTGCCAGTATACAATATGCTACAGATGTGAAGCGAAATGGCACAGGGCAGCGGAATGCCAGGAAATGCTGACGTGGTAACTGTGAGGAAGAGGGACACTTAGAGTGCTGATGCCTGTGGTCCTCCTTAATTAAAACTAGATCCACAGAGAGCAGCAGAGACAGGAAAAGTGTGGAGGGAGATATTGAGTCAGAATGCATGACAATGCAGGAGGCACCACAAGAAAGAAGAGCTGGGGAAAAAGAGAGTGAAATCTCTGTTGGCAGCTGCACTACTTTGTATACTGAAGAGAGGGAACAGGAGGAAAAGTAAGTGGGACAAGTGACTTTGAGACAGAAGAGAGAAGGGAGAAAGGAGAGAATGATACAGGAAGGGGGAAGAATGAGGATAAAGTAGGAGAAAGAAGAAAAGAACCAAATTGGAACATGAAAGAAATCATATGCTATGAAGCTAAGAAAAAACGCAGACAAAGAAAGAGCAGAGAGAGAGCTGGGTTAGTAAAAAGCTTATTGGAGCTACTGTGCTCTGGGTTTAATGGAGAGGGGAAAAGGATGGCGGGGGCAGAAAAGTGCAGGAGAGGGAAACGGAGAACCTTTCTTAAATGTTAAAGCAATAACACAACTGACAAAAATTACGGGGATGCGAAAAGGGGGAGGATTAGAACCGACGGCATCAAGCAGCAACGTAGAAGACTTGTAAAGTGGTAGAGATCTGAACTTTAAATGGATAAGCATGAATTTCTGTATTGCATCTGTAAACATGTTATCAAGGAAGAGGTGGGATAAGATTATGCCAATATTGAGTCGGGTAACAGTGAATAAATGTTTCCAGGAGTTTTGTCATAAAAAAAAAAGCTTCCCCTCAGCATGTTTGCCCATTGTGGGCCTTTTGTTTTATAGTTATGCTCAGTGTTGGCTGCATTTAATAATTAACTTCATAATTGGTTTCCATTGCTGAGCACATGATGTTTTTGGCAGCAGTTTAATGATAGACAGTATATTTAGTGAGATTTCCGTGTATGTGATTATAAGACAAGGGGCTTTTTCCCCATGCCAATTGGGAGGGAAAAACCTCATCTTTTATTTGAGTAAATATTGTATTCAGTTTATCTATGCTTTTATTAAAGTAGTAATTTGAGATATAGTAAAATAACTTAGAATGTATCAACATTGAATAGAATATTTCTTGTTAGTGCTTCCTTTTGTCTAATATCATTTTCAATTTATAAAGAGCCTATTTGATTTTACTCTTCCTCTGTAATATTGTTGGCTACATTTTCTGATTGTAGTTTAAAGCTGGACCTTTTCAAACCCTCAGTTTCTTTTAGTTGTGTCAAAGACTTTCAGACAACATTCATATAATATTAAATATATCCAAAATAAATTATTGTATTAACCTTCCTGATTTTAATTTCTTTAATTTCTGAATAGACTCTATTAAATTCAAATTATTCTATTATTAAATCCTATGAGGAAAAAATAAAAGAAAGGAAGGTGGACACCTCACCTGATTCTGCTTAGCAGAAAAAATAACTCTGTGCACATTTTTACACATACTCTTGTCTTATTTTGTCAATGGGTTTGACTGGATCATTATCACGCATAGGGCTGACAGAGACGTGGTGGGACTCGTCCCATGA